AAACCAGCATTATTATGACTGGGTCTCGGTTGGGCCATACTACTTGAAGACTCCGTCAGCGAGAGCCTTGCCAACACTCCAACCACATTCGTCATGGACGAACCTATGGTTAACTCTGGTATCGGCTTCTACCTGCCGTTTCTGGAGCTCACGGGAGATTGCATACCTGCAACAGAACCTAAACACAACACGCTTTCAGTATAGCACAGGTTCCGCAATTCGGCCGGCACGACAGGCAAAAAAAAGCAGAAGCAATAAAAACCTCAACAATTAAACCTGTATAGATTTCCGACGGAGCGAGTTCATTGCGATGCATCTCGTTTGGCAGCGGCAATCGGCTTAGTTAATCTTCTATAAGTTGGATGTGTAAACGGTTGCCTATGCGAATACATAAACTTAGATAGGAGAACGAAACAACCGAGAGACAAAAACAGAGTGGCGAGGAAAGGTAGCTGCCATATTTCTTCGAGTTTTGGCCGGTGATGGCATGCCATTTTGGTCATAACGTTTCGCACTGAAATGTCACCTACACTGAAGAAAACTTGCTGGGAACAATAACGAATAGTGTCATTAAAGGTAAAAAAAATTGGTTTTTAAGAAGTGCAAAACAGATGTATTTAATGTATGAATCTTATCCCAGGAACGGTAAGGGAAAGAGGTAAGTTTATATGGACAGAACTATCGAGACCGCGGTTGTTTGCGTGCTCTGCTGCCTCAGGTTAAGGTCTTGATTAATCGACTAATGGAGTACCATGCATTATTGACTTAGTTAGAATTGGTATCTCGTAATGTATACATTTGTAAGACTCATCTTCGGATTGAAAACTAGGCAAACTGACAGCTACGAGACATTTCTATCTATTGTATTTTTGACAAGCAGCAAATATTGAAGTAACTTCTTTTTTAATGTTAACTTATAGCTATGGTATGCTGCCACCAAAATGCCGCAAAAGTTGTCGTGCATAGATATGTATCTAAACTTAAGAAACAGTGGAATGTATTAAAGTAGGAGAGGACTCCTCAAAAAAGTGGGTGCGGGACGATTTTATTGTTAATAGCTGACAATGGCGCTGCGGCATATTTGGACGTTCTGCAAATGCCCGTTCATTTTATACCCATAAATCGCGATTTGTTAACCGAGTCAACGCTGATATGATCATGTAGGTTGCTCTATGCTCAGCGAGCACCAGGTGGACTAAAAGTTAGGATCCTTTCAGATGTATATATAACCTATTTGTTTGCCTGTCTTATTTGTTGCCATCGAAAAAAAAACTCAGACTAAATATAACGTTTGTGACATTTACAGATTAGAGAAAGAAAAAATAGATCTTCACTTGCGTTAAATGCTACTATTAATGCCGTTAGGACAAAATAGGCTCAAAATGAGGAAAGAAATAGGTCTCTGGTCAGACATTTGTTTTAGCCTATTATTAAACGTAATGTAATACATTAAACCTAATTAATGCATCAGTGATTTTTTTATCCGGGCACTTTATCTCGCTTATCATTCTCGCCATGCGCCACCTTTATCCACAGAAATGATTATTAGACTGACATTCATGAACCCTAGTAAACATTGTTGCAACAACATCGGATAATGGCTGATAAGCCTCAACAAGCGGATCCCATGTCTGTTTCTTTTCACAAAAGGCGAAGAAACCAGTGATGCGGTGCAGAATGGGCAAAAAAGCTTGTTCTATGACTTACAACGTTCGAACTTACCCGGAACGCAGTGGCGATTCGAATATTTCGAGACAATTACGTTACTCTTTCAGTTACTTCGTGATCAAGACACTTTCTTAGATATTTTCATAGATCAGTCTTTATAAATTGTTTTTTTCTTTTATCAGCTGTTTCCTTGCTCAACCAGCTGTGGGTCGACCTTTGCTTGCTCCTTTCCTTGCCTTTCTTGTGTGACGGGCGGGCACAATTTCCAAAAAAGATACTGTTAACATGATCAAAATGGTCTATTCTTGCCGCACGAGTAAGTGCAACAATTCAATCACTTGTTGTCAAACCGGTTCAAATGTATACGTCAATAACAGATGCCAGTAACATTATAGAATCATACATTATGACCACGACGAGTGTACATAAAAGTTGTAGACATTACACTTACAGCATTTGCGCTAAGTTCTGCTTATATATACACAGCGCAACCGCTTTTAATGCCTCTTAATGAAGTCTCTTGCTTTCTACCCTGATTCCTATTGTCCGGGTTCACTGCTAATACCGATGCACACATAGCAACACCGTCCCTTAATTGTCTGGCCTCCGTGCCTTAAGGATCTCGCCTTGACAACGCAGCTCAAGCCTTCCGCTGCACTATGACAGTTTATATTTCTGCCAATATATGAACCGCTAATGCTTTAACCTGGCCCGTAATGAACAGAGAAAGAAAGTAGTCCTCAGCTGAAGAGCGTCGTGTACAAAGTCGAGATTTGATAAAGGCATACTAGCTCGAACAAACAAAAATTTCGGGTAACGGTACGAAGCAGGGTCAAGTACATATATTTTAATGACTAAGGCTTGTTTCAAAACGTTATGCATCTAGGTATTATAATTCTTCTTACCAGAATACCGGGTTAATCGCTTCGTGAACACAAACCCTCGGAAACACCTCGTGGATAGAGCATCAGAGATTTCTTATCATTATACGGAAATGGCGCTGGAATCCTTGGTCCTGCTTTTTTTAGTTGTAACTAAACTAGCTGTGTTTTTAAATTTAAACAAGTGTCTTTTATATGTATTATATCTATTAGGAAAAAGGCTACGCTCTATTCTCAGCAGAGCACTCGATATAGCTATGCCGTAGTCTTGATAGAAATTCAGTGATATTTTACTTAAACTCCACATCACTTGTTCCCTTTCCGCTGGCGGTTCAAGCCGCAGGACTGCTAGCAACGTCCTATTCTTTTAAACAGTGAACCATTGTGAGTGGCCATTTGACACCCCTCCCTTTTACCTCTTGAGAGACTGGACGTTCCTGGACACTTGTATGGATAGTTTCTGGCTTTTTCAGACCACGCTTTTAATGCGTTTTGGTAATCAACTATATATACTCAAATTGTAACGGCATGTCTGTCTCTGTATTATAGTTCCCATTTGGACGCAGACTGCTAAGCTTATGTGGTTGCAGGGAACGATTCACGCTGCGCAGATAATGTGTGCACAAATGAATCCTAAAGTAGCGGCCGCATTATGTGCGACGTTCTAATGGACTAACTTTAACTTCAGTTTTACTTAGCCTGGTTCAAGGAAACGGTAACACGTGATTAAAGTTATCAGGTGACAAGCAAAAAAGCTCATACTGTACATCACGGAAAAATCGGCAGGAAAAATACATGGTAAAATGAAGTTGGCATTCTATCGACACCGTCTACGGACCACGAAAATTCAGACATCGAAACGAGCACTTCGAAACGAGAAATAGGGGCGCGGGGTTTAAGGGGAGTGTTAGTACAGGATGGTCTGACACGAGTACTGCCACTTCTAATAGCCGTTAGGTCAGCGCTACGCCGATAACCAGTCAATCCATAGGATCAGACTCTTTAGCTGACTAGATGAAATGCTGGTGGCTGAAACTGGCCGTATGCCCTTAATGTACACACTCAACTTATATATGCAAATGCTATGTGTATCCATGTCAGATAGAACTACTACAACGTATAGTTTCCCCGAAAGAATGGACAACTGCTTGAATATCTCATCGGATGTATGAGATAAATTTCTTCCCATTCGACGCCGACGTTCGCAGTAACGCGCCTTACGGTTACGGTGAAAATTGTAGGAAGCATTATACAGACGACACACGATGACTCCAATGACCAGCCTGAGGAGCGTGGTGAAGGCTTTCCTCATCTTCATCTGCAAGGCAATCCACCGTACCGTTGCTGATCCGTCAATGACAATAGAGAATACAGGTATGTATTCCGATATGGGCTAGCGCTCGCAAGGCTAATGCTACCAACCCGCTAGGATAAACGGTTAGAGTAAAATTTTTTAGGAAAAATGTCTTACTGACGAAGCAACTGAACAAAGTGTTTCATTGGTGCGTGAGATATCTTTGCTTTACGAGTATATCGCTCAACGCTTCCATGCTTCTAAAGTATTTTCGGAGTATGTCATTTGGTGTAGGAGGTAGATTTTGCGGGGAGCCCATGCAGGTAACGCTGCGGCGATGTTAGCATTTAGCACCGACTTGTATTTTGGTGTGCCGGTTTTCATACCACGTAAGGATGGATTGGTTATCTCCAGGCAATTAGATCGATTTGAACGATTCGGCAGTTACTAAAAGGTGTTCCCTGAGCCTTTAACATAACGTGCTACAATAGTTGAACGCGTTTTCCTCTTGACTTTGTCGGACGTCAGGGGCTGTTCGATGATCTTTATCGAGTAGCAATTCACTCATTTAGTCAGTTCTTACCTCACGTAGTAGAAGTGTGCATAGACTATTCTATAATAGCTTTAAAAAACCAATAATTTTCAAAAAAGCTTCAATTAAAAAAAAAATGGGTTTTTGTGTTTTGAGCGCAATTAACCTGGAGTTCAATTTTGTTCTCGCATCTATTGCAGTACATATATTTTCAGTACTTAATATTCGATCTACTGCGACCAGACATACGTACCTTGTTATTTCTTCTTTTAATATATTATCGGTGACCCATGACTGTGCCGTTGTTGAAGCGGTACGAACGCGTTGGCGTATGTTTAAATTAAATAAAGAACTACGTTTTGAAATACCATGAAAGGACAACTTATCCTATGTATAAATAAATTCCCACGTTTCTTACATCGATCTCTAAATCGTTGGCACCCTTGATACGACAGGAAACTACTGCAAGTGTTTTAGTGAAGTTCAGACCTTGGCTAAAGTTAAGCCATATGGATAATGTGAAGACAGAAGATTTAGCTTTCACGCTTATTTTACTGGAAGGAAAACTCGCAGAAACGACACAGAAATATTGAGAGCATTTGTTCGACTATGCCAGATGTACAGATTCACGAAGATAAACTAAGGTACGTCCTTGACGTTGAGATGAACTAAACTGGCACTTGCAACATCTCCGTTGTTTGTTTGAAGGGTTTGAAGAAATGCATAAACAGGGACGAATCTTCCTTTTAATGGGAAGGGGGGAAGGGGTGAAGGTCGTCTGTCTCTTTGCGAGTTTATCGAATCAACGGGGTACGATGCTTGATAGGTTGCTTGCATAGACTAATGCCAATATAGAGATTAAATTCGATAAAGCGGTGTGGCACAGTAGATAGGTTATGCCCTCCGCAGTGATTAAGCTTTATTTTTAAGCCGTATTAAGCACGCTGGCGTCATCATGCGGTATGATAACGTAAACTGCCAATAAATTTCCATTAAGATCGGTTCGTTTTGCCAGCAAGGCTGAAAATCACAAAGCGGTGCTTTTAGCACAGGGGGTTGATTTAACTACGAAATTAGAACGTACAACAGTGCTGAAGGGGATTATTTATAAAGCAATAAAAGCAGAACAGAATCCTAGAAAAATGTGCTACTAGATTTCGTATCACGGTTGTCGTTGCTACCATTATTCAAGTTCTAATGACAAACGCCGAAGTCCAGGCGTCATTCTACTTATGCTCACTGGTTAAACTGCATACACACTGGATACCAAATTTTGTATAAACATTGAAATCTCTGTCAGTGCCGATATTCCTTCCGAATATTTCTTGCGGGTTGAGATAATAATACGGATGCTGATTTTAGAAAAAAAAAACAAAGAGTTGAAACACGTAATTTTTTGTTTCATCTATGGTCTGAACCCGACATTTTAGGGTCGTAAGTGCGACATCCTGTTCGCACCATCACTATAATAAGGTGAACAGTTCCACGGACGATTAACTTTCTATAAAGATTCATTAATAATAATGAAATAGAGTTTGTTATGCTAGACGTCGTACCTCTTTCATGATTTTTCGCCTTTTTATTGACGATTATAAGGTCGGCTTCGGCTTGACTCGGGTTATGAGACAACACGGGCTGGATTTAAGAGGTCGTCAATTGACTAAGCTCGTCCTATTCTTTACCATCCTGGGCCCATTTTATCTCCATTAAATACAATGGGCCTAAGCAATTGATAACAGAACGCTACGCAACGCTGGTGGCTGTGGTGAAACGGAGTATGGACCAGGCCTAAAATGGTTGTAGTCGTTATTTTTTTGGGAACTAACTATGAACAAAAGAATGGTACATTGATAGAAAAACAGGCGGGCTCAGGACGCACGGGACGATGAAAGAAAGGGCGAGACACTCACCATCCGAGAAAATCATTTGTTCGTTTGAATCGTCCAGGGTGCCAGCAGTCAACGTTCAAGCAAAACATGACAACCTCTACCTTCTATCTAACCACAAACATAGACAATAGAAGCAGCATCGCAGCTGCTTTGACAGTCAGGCTGGATGCGAAACTGGCTAGTATCTCAAGCGGTTTAAGCGATATATCCTGCACTAAAGTAGTTGAAGCACGTTCGTCTTTACCAGTGGATGTACAATTTTTGCGTACAATCACATAAGGTGCACCACGCAAACGGCTCCTTGACCCTGCCAGTGTTTGCGTAAAGATCTCTTCAAACGTCACAGGCAGCATGGTTCACTGAAGACTCGTACTGTTAGACTTGACCGCAGCCTTTATGAGTAGGAAGCGGGTGACCAACATTCAATGGAACGATGAGGCAGAAAGGGTGATAGCAACGACACGGGGCATTGCATCACCGAACTTGGATCGTAATAATGCTTCATTTTCAAAAGAGGCGTCAATGAGGAGGTTCCCACCTCATTAGAGGGACAGCTGCAAAAGCAGTACAAAATAGCAGCAGTGGCAGTACGCTAATGAACTGGAGTTTCACTCACGAATATTCGAAACAAACTCCGTTGCATAGACTGTCGATTGGTTTCATGTCGCGTTGCCGCCCATTGGCAAGCCTACATTTTTTTACGCAAGCCTTATTTCCTACTGTTCTCCTATGGGGGGAAGTCAGCCCAAGTACTCGGCCCACATCCTCGGTTCATGTCTTAATGACTACGTGTCATCTATGAGCTTTTGTGTAGAGGTCTCCGCTTATCAACGCGAATATCTGCACAATAGCATGATCTGTGCAAGGCTATACAACACAGAGTAGCGCTTAAGGTTAGTAGAACGGTTACACAGTTTTCTACGCACATGATGATGACAATGTTGCATTATGCCATGGAGTGGCATTGGCACATTGATGCAGGAACGATTAAGAATTTTCGTCTCACTTCCCGCCAACATTGCTTTCATTCTATAGTATGATTAGAACCGCATGATGAGGTATACTTCCGTAACTGGCTGGTCAACCAAACGATCAGCAAAACTGCATTCATTTAAGTCAGAAGTGCCCGGATAGTTAGCTAGCATTTATATGGCTTCATGTTTTATGACTGTTTAGGATCCAAGCACACTTCAACGCTGCGGAGCGCTGTCTACGATTGCTTTGCATAGCCGTTCGTCGCAAACGAATGACATTTTATTGTAACCCTCCGCTCACGCTACAATCTAATCATCGTTCGCTTTTTCAAAGTTTCTATTGCAAGTAGTATATATGGAACGCTTAGTAACAATCATCGCTACAGCCTTTCAAAGCTTTCCGGCTTTTCTTTGAAATGCGGTACGCGACTGTTACGAGCGTAGGTCGACCCGGCAAAGGAAAAGGTCGATATCAACCCCACTTAGCAATATTGTTGACGTTAGAAAAACGAGAATGAGCAAAAGAGTGAGAGGAGAGAAACCCTGTGGGGCAAACTGGATCTGCCGATATTCTTCCGCCAGCGCGGATACGCTATTTCATAAAGCTTCGTTGTCCGTACGCTTCGCCAGATCCCATTTCTCCGTTCGTTTCAGCCGCAATCGCTGTAGTCGTTGCCGTTGTTTGCAATCCTTATTTTTTCCTCCACTTCGTCCCGTTCCTATTCTACCATCGACTTCGTAAAGGTTGTTTAAGTTGTCGCCAGCCGGCTGTGATTTTACCACCATTGTCACTGTAGAATCCATACTACAACGGTAATTGTAGGAGGGGGATGCCACCTCCACCAGTTGTTTGAAATAACTAAATGAACGGATTGTCGAAGAAAGAGCCGATGCAGCTCACGGTGCCAGTCTCAGCTGAGACATAGTGAGATAAAGAGATAAGGGATAGCGTAGATGAGTGGCACCCAAAGACAACCATGCTGGCGAAGTGGGTTTGATTCAATGTTACTGCTGCTAGGCGAAATGATGCCAACAATGAAAGTAACTGCGACAAAATTCAAAAAGCCACTCCCTGCGACTTAGGTGAGGTACAGCGGCAACAATGTGAAAACTCATTTCCCAGAGTTTATCTACGCCACCGCCTATTGTCTCCCGTTGTTCTGTTTCTCTTGGAAACCTTCTGAAGGATCTCTGATGCTAGGCGGAGAAGATTGAACAAGGAGTAAAAAGATACACTTATATACCCCTACAATAGTCTGCGATGCCGCATTGCTAAACTTAACTGTGTATCGCCTCTCGGCTATCACCGAGACGCCTTCGATGTCGTACTGTAGCCGATACTATAAAGTAGGGAGCCAAATAGATAGCAGCAAAAAGTAAGCACTGGGCTAAGGATATCGTAGCCCAGCCCTCTATTGGACTAACTCTATTGGAGCTGTAATAAATGTTGGTCTGAATGGGTTACTTAAATCGGGGGGACGACGATTCTTCTGCAGTAGCTCTCTCAAGATCCCGAATTCAGTCGTACTTAAAAGCACTGACGTGTTACGGTGGTCACTTAGAAAAGCAGTAACGCCAGGGTTGATAGCACTATCAGCACCTTACGCGAATTATTTCGCTGAAGTACAGCAGAGTACATCTGTCGTTATTTGAGAGTTTACTGAAACAGAAGAAGCAGGTAGCCTATGGTGGTCCAGGAAAGAAACTTCATGTAGAACAGCTCTTAAAGGTAACCTCAACCGTACTTTATAGCGGAGTACGCCGACAATTTTGGCAGTGAAGGAAAAGCGAAAACGCTTCATTATTTGACCAAACCGTGAAAAATACAATTGTCCGGCTCTGGACTTCACAGAAAGAGTATCAATTTCTGTATTTTTCATTCAGCACGGTAGTTATATTGTAAAACACCGTCTAAAAAGCGACGGCCCATTCTACCCTGTAGAATTGTATGGTTTCAGAAATAAATCAGTATATCTATCTTAACAGTATAGGTATAACTGAATTTATGCGTTCCTCTTGGGAAAATTACCTAACCGGAGACAACACACACGCATACATATTTACGATAGGCATGTTTTTTCCTCATCAGGTGCCTAGTCATAACTGCTATTACCTTACCATTATGTTAAGTATGCGCTCAGCCAGATCTGCGAGTTTACTTTACTACACAGATGCCTGCGTAACGTATAATGATGAATTACATAATTTCAAGCAAAATGTCACAGTAAGAACGAGAGAGGGAGACGTTGAGTGGCAACTTTAACGGAAAGTCACATGGAACAGAAGTTCCCGTTCGTTCGTTTGAAGTCGCATAATAAACAGGCCGGAGCGATGTAAGTCCTGTGTGGCCTGTGGCCTTTCTCCCTGTCTAGTTGCAGACATCAGCCAAAGTAGAGCATAGGAGAGGCGGTGGAATGGGCGCTAACTAGTCTTAAGACGGCGTTGGCTGTGTCTCGGTATTCTCACTCTTTGATTCCGTGCAGTCGTCCCCTCGCATCGGCTTGTTCTAACAATTTCACTAGGGCATGAGATGAAGGGACGCGAAACAACAAATGGGCAGGTGAATTCGGCTGTCCGGCCAGGCGCTAGAAGAAAACAACGAGATGACGGTTGCCGCTTCTCGCTGGCTTTGCCGCATTTCCTTTCAGAAACTCAGTGAACCGTAAAGATTAAGCGAACATTTGGTGACTTCAATGATTATGAAGCCGTAGCCGTCAACGGGACAAACGACAACCAAACCATGGCGCTAAATTAGTGGCATTAGGTGCACAACGTCATAGAAAGCCAGCGCGATAGCAAACAAGTATTTTGTATTTATATATATTGAAACGGTTGTATTTAGTCTGAAACGAAATATCATTTTCACACAACGCCCTAACGGCTTTCGCACGCACCCATATGTAATAAAAGCATTATGAATACGTGTACGTACATATAGATAAATTTAAACTGATCGACTTTAACGACTCTATTTATATCAATGTCACCAGGCGTTAGTTTCCTCATCGCAATTTTGACTAAAGAAACGACATAGTGTATGAGGAGATGGTAGCATAAAATCTTAGACGTTTGGCTGCTTCGGCATCGGATGTTGTTTTCGTGCGAACATGTGTACGCGTAAACTGGTGCCTGCGCCTTTTTCCTGAGCCTTTGCCAATGCGTCTATCGTTGTGGTGGTGCTTATGTTAGCTCTCATAATGCACCTGATCGGAAAGTCTGGCACATTTTTAATTAATTGATCAGTGCATTTCTGGTCCACATGGCGAAAGCGAAACGGCGCGCGGGGTGTAGTTAATTATCCAGTTGACTGAGCACGAAAGCAGCATGTAGCATGTATGCGACTGCACGGCCCTGCATCGCGGCTACCTCTTGTCAACTATGGCTGCCACAACCGTCTGCAGCTGCAGACGTTGGGTTTTAGTCTTAAACAGTGGTGAAGCCAAGCAGAATTCTAGTGAAAATTTTCGTCTGCCAAATGTTGATGTTTGCTATTCTGCTAAAGCAAATAAACACAACAAGAGACGTGCGTTATTTGCTTGCCTACAAGTTATTGATGGAAGTATATGCAATTCTATAGCTTCAAAAATCGATGACCGAAAATTGTCAAAGCGGAAAACGCGATGGATTGACATTAAGACGATAACAATATGGGCGTGGATTTATGTTGAAGAATCTGGAAGGTTATAAAAGTCACAATGACGCCACATATTTCAATCGTAGCTAAGAAACTAGTGAGTGGTACTCTGCCAGAATCAATCTGTTGCGGTTCCCGTTTTGGCCTTCTCGACATGAATGAAGTTGTTACATTGTACCGTTTCCAGGTCGTTGAGCATTGACGCAGCACGTATGCGATATACTTTGTATGTATATTTCGATGAATTGCTGAACCTACTATTCTTTTTCGGTCGACCTGATGAATGCTACGTAGAGATACCTTGTCCTGTCCAGCATATTATAGGCCAAACCAAGATAGTCGGAACAGGCAGTAACCCGAAACAAACTAATGGGTTGAAAAATCATATAGGGCTAAAGGCTTTAAAACAGCAATACTGCCAATGTCTATTGTTCTTAAATGCTCTTCTAAGCGAATACGGTCATTGCAATTGAAGTCGTTGTGTGTTAGACAAATAATAAACACAGACGTTGAGGCGCGCTTTTGTTACATACACGAATATATTGCCAATATAAGACAAATGCTTTCTACGAGGACAACATACGCACATGTCGGAAAGCTATTTTGTATAGTAGAAACGGCAATTGCGTATCGTTTTCAGCCTTATTTCGATTTGCCGCCCTTTTTTCACGTCATATCACGCTAAGATATCAATCGCGTCGAGTAAATTGTTTTACCGCTTAGGGGGCAGCAGAGAGGAACCGATAGCCGATGCTGGATATAGCTCGAAAAAAGACAAATAAAGAGTAAAGTGAAAAGATACCGGTAGCAAGGAGACAGATCAACAATGGCTAGGGCTCACGCAGCCGGAGCTTTGCAATTCTGGTATCGTAGTTACAAGCAAATTGTACGATGAATACGCGATGCTATAGTTGCATTATTGTTTACCCTAATACATCGCATATAGCTGTTAAAAACTGAATTTCGTCCCTTGATTTGGCGCATAACAAGCTAATCAGCAGTGTTTTTTTTATGGGCAGAACTGCAAAAGTCAATTTGTTCATAGCGGAAGCAAAAAATATTTTCAAAACAGGAACTACTGACTTTTCCTCTTTTTGTGGAAAGCCAATATGTCTTCACAATACCGTTATCATTATCTTTAGTTCATTTATTTACATAAACCTTATGAAGGACAGATGGTTGACGTATCGGCCGGGAAAATATCTATTCGATTGAAAAGGCGCAAATGATCATCATTCAACTAACGGCCTGTAAGAATGGTGTTACAGACATTAACGTAACTGTACATATCGGCACAATTGGTTCATAACATCTGGCCCTCTGGGAAATTTAAAAAAAATTGTTTTTGAATTACATGTCTGTTATATAATACATTAGCATATGTAGCAGGGGATGCTGATTGGTTATTGTTTTTTAGGTAGGAATTCTAAAGGTATAAGCAACCCTGTGGGTTACTTGTACTTTTAGAACAGAGAAGACTGGCTTCACATTAATTTCTTTGTATTGTTATCGGTATGAACGTCCATAACGAATTTCTGGATAATTTGTGAATGCGTATTTGGAACACAGACTCTTTTCACAGAGAAAATTGTGATGGTAAGTATCAGAAATAGCATTCCCAGTGAGCTGTAGAGGAAATACAAAACGATTTAGGGAGGTAGCTTCACACAAATCAAATCATCCCACCCAAACCGGACAACTACATAATTTCAAGTTAGTTGCAAAAAAATGACAATCGTATAATAAACAGGCATCCGTCGTCCATGACCATGAGGCAAAGGCACCGTGGATACTCGAGCGGAACAATACAAAAGCATCTTGTGCTACGATTGCACATGTCTGTTTAAGATAAGCATGTCCTGAATCAGGAGTAATATGTTTGTATTGTGACCTCGTGTTTTTAGTCTGTCAAATACAATAATTTAAATATCTATAGCTATCAGAGAAATAGGGAACGTATCAGTGTGACATTTTAATATATTATGTATTTGCTTTTTCTTTTTTTTTTCCAATTTTTCCGTTACCCTGTTAATCAACTAATTCAACGTCTTCGTGTGTATGGCATGCTGTTATGCCTATTGAAACTTAGCATTGAACAAAGACGTTCGCTGTTTTGAGGGAACCAGCACTAATGATATCACGAAAGAGTATCATCATTTCCATGTGCCTTTTAGTGCTAGACTATTTTTTTTTCAATATTTGAGTAGGAGATTTGTTTTTGAAAATCTTATCGATGGGCATCGAGGCTCGACCTCTGGCGCTATAAGGAACTGGAACTTAAGTTCGTTAATCTTTTGGAAGTAATAACTCGTTGTAGCTAAAGCGAATCACTTTGATATGTGGCTGTCGTGCTGTCTGCTATTGTATTCAAAAAGATATCAACAGTAACCATTATTATAACTGTTGTCAAGGTAATTAGATTAATACGTTTCTTTCGGATTGTTTATTAAGCTCGAAACTACTGTAAAAATGAACAATTATTATAATGTTTTGAACTACTTGTCTAAGATCACACTAAAGGCATGTATTATTCTGGGTCCACTAATCCCCATTATTTAATACTAATTACCCATTGTATTATACACAGTGGAACTATAACAAAAAATCCTGTCTTTATTAACTATACACAGATTTTAAGCCCATGAGTTCTAGGTACGTCAATGAAATGTTACACACCTGGATCTCAAAATGGTGATTCCCCAGCTTCGCATTTAGACATCTAATTGCAGCTGTTCACTTCTTTCGATTCATCATAATAAATATTCTGTAAGAAGAATGAAGAAGCCCAGAACGGGAGTCAATAGATCTTTGTCTTTCGGCGCAAATATTTATGCTCTACATAATACTTATTCGAGCTTAATCGGAACATTTAATTCACAACAGCACGTCTAGCGTATACGTCTGATGCTAAAAGCGGCAACATCCGTACAACGACAGTAGCAAGCCCTGTACAAATTTACATGCTATTTCCCAAACGTTGCCTAATTATCGAGTATGTATCGTTGTTCTGCTGTGGCTTATTTTTCGCTCAATCGACGTTTGATACGTCATAGGTTTGTTCACAGTATTGGACTCCTTCTGTCAGCACGAAGAGAAGAGCACCTCGACTAACGAAAGGCAGAAGTTGACGTTGAACTTAACGATTTTTTTCCAAGCTTTGACCAGGGCTGCCGTTCCAT